GGGACAGAAGAACTGCAGCAGGGGACTGTTTGGCTAGGGAGTAGCTTTGCAGGAAAGGATCTAGATATCTCATGGAAAGAAAGATGGACATGGCACAGCAGCACCCAACTGCAGTGATGAAGGCTAACCACATCCTGGAGTTGTATTATTAAGAATGTAGCCAGCAGGTTAAGGGAAGCGCTTATTATCCCTTCTTCAGCATTTGTGAGACTATATTTTGTCCAGTTCAGGTCTCCTCTGCACAAGACAAGACACTGACATACTGGAGCAAGTCCAGCAGAGAGATGCTAAAATGATTAGGAGACTGGAGACTGAAGCACATGGCGTGAGGCTGAGAGCTGAATTTGCTCAGTCTTAAGATGAAAAAGCAACAGGGGAGATCTCACTGGTGTCTTCAGTTACTCAGTGGGAGGTTAGAAGGAAGATCAAACCAAAATTGTCAGAAATGCCCAGCAAAAGGACAAGAATCAAGAGTCACATTTCATCAGAATAAGTTCCAACTAGATATAAGGAAAAAATTCTTCACAATGAGGGTGGTCAAGCATTACAGAACAGGTTGCCCAGGGAGATTGTGTCATATCCTTCCTTAGGGATACCCAAAGCTCAGCTGCACTAGGCCCTGAGCAGCTTAATGCAACTTCAAAAGCCACCATTTTGTGGATGTCCAGAGCTCCTTCCAATCTACATTATTCTAGGATTCTACTATACTCTCCTCCCTTGTTTTAGTTTTGTAAAGTAGTTTCGCATTGTTTCTGTTCCTCTTCTTTGTCTATTCCTGTTCTTCACATGTATAATATGCTTTCCTAGTCTAACTCATGCTGTATAGTTTTGGCACTATGATCACCTGTAATAAACCAGCTATGAAATCAGTGATGACCCTGAACGTTAAAGAATTAAGCAAGCAGTTTAAATGTGAGCAGTCAAAAATGCTTTAGAGAACATCTTCAGAAATGTCTTCCCATTTAGCATTAAAATACTGTTAGCTATGTTTTGGTATTTAGAAGGACTAAGGGAAAACACATTCATTTAAAGAAATTATTGAAAACACAGCACAAGAGTTCAGAAATAGGATTAAGCCAGACGCAGCTGCAATCTTCAAACTTAGTTTAAACCAAATCTGAATATCTGCAACTGTAGCTTTCAAGTTATAATCATGCCATTGACCTTCCTTCCCCGCTCCCTTTTGTTTTTGGGCACCGAAGACTCTGACGCTTTCAATAGCTCCAAGTCAAGAACAACTCCCTTCTAACGACGACTCTGACATGGATATAGTGAGAGCAGATTGCCTGCAAGGAAACAAGAATAAACCAGCTATTTAGAGAGATTATGTAATGCAGCCCAGAGATGTAAAATGAGATTTAAAGAGACAGAACTCTGCATTTCAGCCCTGTAAGTAACCATAAAAGTTGGGCAACACTGTAACAATTTGAAGAGACAGAGGAAGAAGTCTTTGGCTATTTTGTCAAACCCTTTAAAACAAAGTTGAAACACTTCTTCATATCAGAGGTGTTTCAACCTCTGGTGGTTGCACATCAAGATGGTGTGCAGATTTCTGCTACAAAAGTGAGCTCTGAATAGATACAATGCACCTAGTGGACGGGAGCTTGTTGAACTTCTGAAGCTTAGCACTCTCAATCAGCACAGTACTGCATGCTGAAAATCAAACCGATTATGAGCAAATACAACAGAATTAGTCTTTCCTGCATGAATATTTTAGCAAGTGTAAACAAGATTCAAGCTTTTATAAGCAGCCAGTTCCCAAACGAACACCCATGAACATCAGCTGGTTAAGCAAAGGAAGAGCAAGACTATGAACTGCCATGCACCACCATATTATAAACAGCAAAGAAAAACACAGCAAAGGCATGTGTGATAAGGGAGACTATCTCTGTGTATTGGACATTCTTACACAAAGCTGGAAACTATAAAACCTTGAGGGTTTGTCCATGGCTTTGTTTAGAGCATACACGCACACATAAAAACCTGATGCACAAAATAATGATTTTGTAGAAGAGTCCAAAACTGTTGAGCAGTTGTTGAGAGATTTCATTTCTGCATTTCTTCACTTTAGAATGGAAGGAAAGAAAAAAAAAAGTACAATTACCTTAGGAATTCTAATAAAAACTGGTTTTTATCTAACTCTGACCACCCTTTCGTTAAAAGCCCCAAAAAATAGTAGCATCATGCATTCAGCCAACCCCAGCTGCTTTGCTAGTGATTAAATAAGACAGTGAGCCCAGATCACCTCCTTTTCACCTCCCCTGAAAAAGGCATTACAGCAAGGAAGAATTTGGCCCAAACTACACAGGGGAGTTAAGGAAAAGCAGGGGCAGAGGGTTTTATTTTTCTTTAAAATAAACCCAGCAAGTCCCTGCTCCATTGCTGGACTTTTCCTCACATAATGTCAAGCCTGCAGGTTGCTGGCAAGCAGATCAGGCACAGTGCAAGACCTGCCAGAACTCCCAGACCACGCACACACGCTCTCAGCTGCTTTTGAATACACTGGGGATGAAGTCTATCTACCAGGCTTTCCAGAGCCTGGCTCTTCCCTGCAGCAATAGCCCCTCCAGAACACTACATGGGGGAAAATCATGTGCTTACAATACTGAAGGTAGCACGCAGCCTTGATGCAAGAGCCACCAACAAGCTGCAGGAACAGGTCTCCTGAACAGTTCTAGCAAGCTGTGCTGCACTGGCATCCCAAGGGCATGCTAATTTCAGCAGTTCATTTGCAACTCGGTTAACTTCAGAAATGCAAACGTAGTAGTATCAGCAAACAAATAAATAAGCAGCTCAGCATTTTTTCTGATCAGATAGCATGGTGCTCCAAGGATAACTGTTCATTTTGAAGACAAACAACTATCAATGCACCTCAGTTTCACTCAATGAACAACCTGTACTTTCTCTTTAAAATATATACTGTAAATTCATTTACTTTGCCACACTTTCATGTCTAAACACAACAGATATTAACATATTTTCAGGAAAAAAAAACAGGCCATGATCATTGGCCCACAGTGACAGGGTGAGATTTTCTAAGTTCACTGCCATAGCTCAATTTACAATTAAAACAATGCAAAACCAAAACTGCGATTAAATGCAGAAGACAACTACCTCATTATATAGCAGCAGAAAGAAAAGACATTCAAACACCAACTGTTCTACCTGAAATATCACCTGCTGCTTTTAATACCTGGGACTGAGCAAGAACATCACTTAGCTTATTGGAAAAAAAATTCCCAGAGACAGACTGGCAGCATGACAAATTGGCTACAAAGCTGGCTACAAAATCAAAAGCCAAATACTTTTTTCATATATAAAGGACAGCCACAAAAAAAACAGGTGGAGAGCCTCAGACAGGTATACGTGAAAGCCAGACTATTTTCCTGTTTCAAAACTATTTGGGAGCTAATTTAATTTGCATTTTATTTTAAGCAACCATCATTTCTTCTTTTTGAAGCTGACAGACTTTAGCTAAGTCAGAATCACTGTGCATGACTGGGGGTCCCACACAGAAAAGCTGTGGGGAAGGAAGATGCTCAGACACTTTTGCCAGCAAACACTCAGCCAAGAAAAAAGTCATGTTCAGATTCCAGAAAAACACCTGCAATATCCTTGTGATTACCTTTCAGCATAACCAAAAGGGCTTTAGAAGGATTCAAGCACTCCAAGAAGCAATGGGATAGCATTTTCTCCCCTCAACATTTCACTTTTCTACAATTAAAGACAAGGAACTGAGCAGTCCATATGCACCACAGGCCAATTTACTTTTTGAAAGCCCACATAAAATTAGTTTTGATTCAAATGCCTTCATCCAAAGACAAACTTAAGGTATTCTAGTGGGTTTATTCCACTTCTTATACAGGTTACACTTTATATAGGCATTTTTAAAACTTGTAAGTTAGTAACTTTGGACCTGACACTGAAACTAGCTCACAGAAAGTGCAAGCTTTACTCTGCCAAGCAAGCAGAGCTCAACACTGCTCAGTACAAACAGCTGAATAAAACATTCTGCATATAAATCCAGTGAATAATGCTGAGTAAAGCAGTCTGGATACATTTCAATAACATGGATCAATCTTAACCTTTCTATAACTATGGAGATACAGGATCAGTTCAATCTTATCCTTTGCATACCTATGCAGGCAGTGTTTGAGTTCCAAGTATAGATTTTAATTTAGGAAAATACCTTTACCTAAAATATCCCACCCCCCCAAAAAAAGAGTATCATATTAATAAAATCCATCTATGTCCCTTGGTTAACTATGTCAGCTTCCAAGTGTTTGATATGACAGGCCATCAGCTGTCATACCCAAGAGCCATGAGACAAGAGTATTAATTAGCCAAAAAATGACAACTCTTGTCCATTAATATGAGTAACAGCAACTCAAAGAACACTCTTCTTCTGGAGTAAAAGCTGGGTTTATTCACTCACTTTAAGAGCGTAGATTCTGTAGATCTCAATTCAAACGTAAGGAGAATGTTTAAACATCCTATGGACACTACAATCTTTTTTCCATTTTTTCCCCTCCTCTGTCCAACAGTCACATATTAAGCACCATTACCACCAACTGTGCACGTATACATAATATATGTATTATCTCACACTTATAGAGCATATAAACAAAAGCATTTGAACAAGTACACTTAAAAATAAATATGCATAAAGCTTTTCAAGAACTCTGATAAAATACAAAGCCACAATCACTTAACATAAAATAAAAAGGTGCAATGGGCATGCCAACCTTGAAAAAGCCCTTTTAAACTACAATAGTATTATCAGGTGCCATTATCCTTTGTCAGCCAGCTACCTGACCTCATAAATCAGGCATAACAACCAAATGAGAGCACAATGTAAAATCAGCACAAGGCACGCTTGTCTAATGAGTAACAAGTGACCTGCCAAGGTTTTGAGGTCACATTCAAACTGAAAAAATTATTGTAATGAACCATATTAATAAAAACAGAAATCATATCAATACAACTAAGCTTGCACATACCATTCTGTAGAGTTTGTGCTCGTGACTCCTTCCCCAGATTGGCATGGAATCCTCCTCCTAAAGTTGGTGTTTTGCCTGCACCTATTAGGAAGAAAAAAAAAAGACAAAAAAAACAACCCAGATATGTCAAATGCAATAACTGAATTAAAATATTAAAAGAAAACTTACTGTGCCACTACAGTCAGTACCTGTGTAATTTACAACATGCCAAATTACATTAATAAGGGCAACAGAAGTGCTTGAAGGGCTTACAACAATGAATACAATAATCCTGTGCAATTTATTTCTTCCTTGGGATACCTTAAGATTTACATGGCTACACAAACCCTCCCAATCTCAGCTCCAAAAGATAGCACAAAAATGTCACAACCTCTGCTGTAGACAGAATATGAAAATCAATATTGTAAAATACTTCTCGAAATAAATGATGAAACAATTGCTTAGTTTATATTTTTTTTCTGAACAATGTTCAATACATAATTTTAATAGTTAATTACTGGCACTACAAAACATAAACATTTAGCATTCAGCGACAACTGTGCTGGATACTACAGACATAACACTTCAGACCAACATTAGGCACACCCACAGCAACACTTAGGCTACAAAAAGCACAAGTATGGAACTGCTACATTTACACCTTGAGAGGTTGAAAACTGAAGTCCAGGTTGCAAATCAGCATCAACTAGATGCTGGCTTTTGCATCTGTGCCAATGCTTAGCAAACTCTGCATTCAGGCTCCTAAGAGTCAATAGAACTACTCATGCAAACCAATCCCGCAGAACAGGGAATTAAACTTCCAAGGACAGAAACAGTCTCCCACTAAAGCAGAAAGGGTTTTTTAAAAAACAATCAGGCTACCTCAAGCAGGATATCTGAACGTATCAGCTTAACAGCAAGACTAAAAAGCTAAATTGCAAAGGATTGAAAAAAAGCAATTTGTTTGTAGTTGGACTGCTCTTCAGAATCAGGAGAAAAGTCATCTTGTTGCCTTTGATGCCTACCTACAGTTTTTCTCAGTTTCTTGTAGCTATGTGTTCTTATCTTTTACCAGTTCTCTAGAACACACTAGAATGTTCTACCAGTTCTCTAGAACACACTAGAATCACGCAGGAAAGCGTCCCTTTGGCCAATTTGGGTCAGGTTTCCTGTCTCTACTCCCTTACGGCTTCTTGTACCTCTCTCCTCACTGCAGCGCATGAGAGGACTGAAAAGTCCTTGACCAGGGTAAGCATTACCTAGCAACAACTAAAACATCGGTGTGTTACCAGCACTGTTCTCAGATTAAAGCTGAAAACACAGCACTGCACCAGCTACTAGGAAGAAAATTAAGTCCATCCCAGTGAAGACCAGGACACAGATACAAGTGATGAGAAACTGTGACCTAAATTGTTCACTCTTACTGGACTCTCTTAGTCTCCTCTCAGCTGCATTTAATGCACACCCATGTTGAGGGGAAAAAAAAAAAATAACAAAAAAAACCCCACAAACAGAAAAGCTAATATTCCTGCAGTATTAGTGCCTATCAGCCTTCAAAGCTTAATTTGCCATACAACTTTTAAATCAGGTTTCTAATGCTATCCAAAACAGAAATCAACTTCATTTCATTAACATATCCTTTCAATAAACAGTCATGGAAAACTCTCCCATAAATGCCCCACAGCTTAAGTACTTCAGCTCAACATTCCAATTAGAAATGAAAAACATTCAATAGCAACCTCCTCACTGGTTATTCATATACAGCATTTACAGACAGCAATGTCTCCTTGCCATTCTTATAGGTACATCTCTTATTTCCACAAATGCTCCAAAACAAACCAACCAATGATGCAAACCAGAGAGAGGTTACCAAACTACCCTAACATACATTACATTTTTGGTATATATTTAATAAGAATGGTTTACCTGGGAGAGGCGAGGAGGGAGGGAATATATATATATATATAAATGATGGCAATAGTTTTATGCTGCTTTTCTTCAGTAGCAAATCTAACTTCCTGAAACTCTGCCTCCTACCCTCATTTTTTCATTGTTTTAAGATCTGCTTTATCACAGGCTACCTCACTTGTCTGATTTGCAGCCGGAGAGCACACAGTCAAGCATCAGTACAGTAGAGGAGGCCATAAACTGCAGGACAAGAGCAGAAACACACAGCAGGGCAGGCTGGAGGTAGAGCAGGCTCATCCAGCACTTGAGGCAAAAGCACTGTTGCCCCCTCCTGTGCACAAAGGCTCCACTTTTAAGCCCCATCTATCTTTGAATACACAAAAATATGGAACTCTGTTGGACTATCGTTGCCAAAACCCCTATGATACTCTTTCACAAGTTATTACTAAAAAGCTTGCAAAAACAATCTTAGAGTGGCGGAAAACAATACTATTAACAAAATAATTTAACTTACTCAGAAGCAAAAATCCAGACGGAATACAAACAACATAAAATTAAGCTGACATTTCAGTGTTTTTATTAAGATTCTTTTCATTAGACATCAAGATATAATATTGTACATAAAAGTGATTTCTCTCCAAGCTATGGAGTCTGCAGCAGATACAGTGGAGCTATCCAAAAGGCAAATTTTGCTGTCACAATTGACATACCCATTTCTCAGTGAGTTAACTGGAAAAACTATCTTTAATTAGCATTTGGCTTTGAAAACTGACAGAAAACTAGTCTGTTGAGCTCTTACGCTCATAACTGCAAACTACTGCTGCCATTGACTATGAAGTTCTACCACCAGCATTAATCTTTAGAGGCAGAACGCAAACCAAACTCATTAATATAACTGTTCAGCTGGGTAATTAAAAAAAAACAAGCTATTCCAAAACCCTGTGAAGTCATCAATTTCATATAAAAACAGAAATCCCTACAAAGCTCATAATTTAAAAGTACAAAGAAAAGGAACAGCAATCGCTAGGCACAACCAAATTAACATCCCAGCTTAAGTGAAATTTTTACATGTCTTGATCTTTTCCATTTTTCCCTCTACAACTTCAAATGTGAAATAAACAGGCTTTGGGTTTTTCACATTCAGCTTTCACAATATACAAAAATATATCCAAGAAGTGTTTGGTGTCTTCAAGTGCTGCCTGCCAGATCTTCAACACTAACATTTCTGTAAGCCAACCCAAATATCCTCCTTCATGAGGTGGTGCCTCCCAAGGTACATTGTCATCTGCTGACTATTTTTAGAAACTAACTCAAGACTCTCAGCTTTGCAAAACTGATGTCTCGTCTTCCAAGTTAGCTTTGGATAATTACATGAAATTCTGGACAACAGAAGATGTGGAGAGATGTGTTAACAGCACAGACACACAGCTACTGAATATTTTGTGGTCCTCCCAGTGTTCCCCAACACACCAAAATAAGAGATCAGATCATACACCTGGAAACTTGGTGATACTCAGTCAAAGCTTACATGGGTCCAGAGGCAGCCCATAACCACACATTACTCAAGTGCTAAACTACTGTCACTGTCCCTTCAAGCATCGCCACATCTGCCCCTTGCAGCACAGTCTGGGTCAGACTCAGGCACTTCGGCTGTTCCTGTGTTGCTCCACTGACTCACTAATGAAGTAAGAAGTCACATCACCTACTTCTCTACAAAAATGTTTCTCAAGCAGTAAAAGGAGCAAGCAAAGCAAGAAGAAGACAAGAGATAGCAGGAACAGCACTTATCCCTCCATACTGAGGAGGCAAAGAGCAGCCACTCGGGCATCTGCAGCTTAAAGGGCACTTTCCTGAGAGCTAGTGACAAGTTGAGTTTCAGATTCAACACCTGGAAAAGAAACAGATTCAGTCCCAGCATTATGGATTTTGTTTCCTCTAGATAAATGAACAAGCGAAGACAGGGAATGAAGCAGCTTGCAATGGGAAATGAAGTGTATCTGCTATTTGATAGGACCAGTTTTAACACAATCCTTCCCTATGAAATTAAAACCAAAAAACACCAGCTCTTTCTTCAGGAGAAGGCAGGAGAAAACCCTTCAATTTAAAACCCACATATTTACAGATCCAGCATAAAATCTGGGTCTGATACTGCACACTTGACACACACCAACGGTTTCATAATCAGGGTAGACTAAATAATCTAAACATGAATGAGCTTCCTACTCAAGTTAAACCATAAAAGTCAAAAGGAGAATAAGTTAATGTGCCATTTCAACTCATGCTTACAATAGCAAAATGATGTAATTAAAGTTCAACACACAAAACTACCAAAGTCTGCAACTGAAATAATTCTCAGACATTTTTACAGCAACACTAACAGATCTGCACACACTACAGCCTGCTGAAATTGTACTGCTGAATAAATTTACATAGGCAAACTTTTAATCTACTCCATCATAGCTAGCTACCTATGGGGTTATTTTCATAACTACCAATCAAAGAGATAAATATACTGTTGCATCCACCATGCCTGAGTTTAGGACTGCACAAGCCTATGAAAGTTACATCCAACCTTTCACGTCCAAGTTACGCACACGATTCTGCATTTTCACAACTGACAGCAGCACGCAGCACTTCAAGCAGGAATTTGTTGCCACCATAACGATAGCATTAAGACTCAAGGCCAGAAAAAAAACACTATGCACTTAACTCTGATGCAAGATTGCCACCTGGAGGATTAAAGAAAAGAAGTAAAAATCGATTCAGTTTATTTCACTAAAACATTTTTTTGCATGAAATAGATGCAAATTTCCCCTCTTTCTTCCTAAAACAACATGATTATAAATTAGTTTTGTAAAGAGAAAAACTAGCACAAAGTAAAACAGGTAAACAGTCCAGGATTTCCCACAAAAGGTCTGCAAACCCAGCATATCCATACCTCCTTCACTGTTGCAAATTACATCATGACCACTCTACATAACTAAAAATTAAACATGAATTAGTGTCATTCTAGAAATCTGAACCACAAGTAAGAGGAAATTTGCCAACATTACCATTACTTTCATTTTTCACTACCCACCGTTTTCATTTCAAGTTTAACGTACGTATTACTGGTGGAACACACTTCAGGATTGTTCAAAGCTGCACTATAAAAAAAATATTTGATGTCAGGATTTGGTCTACTAACATATCAT